GTCTTCCTGTAATGTTGACATGTGGCCTCGTACCTTTTGACTAAAGATTAATAACTATATTATGCATTTTTCAGATATGTGCAATTGTAGGTGGTACCTTCACAGTGGCTGGCATTATTGACTCTATGATTTACTCTGCCTCAGAAGTCTTCAAGAAAGCGGAAATTGGCAAACTTAGTTAATAAATTCGTAATCAAATAGACACATATACTATTTTAATTTCACCTAAATTATAAATGTTAAATGTACTGGGTAAAGGGCTGATAGTGGATATATATTTTTAGAAAAACTTATTTTATGTACCAATGATATAATTTTAGTGACTATATCTCAATATATCAATCAAATGAACTTCTTTAAATACTGTTTAAAGGATTAATTATTCACCGGGTTTTAAATTTTGCTCATTTCGCTGACTGGAAAATGCGCTAAACTAAAACTCGGTGAATATGTCAAATTTAGCATACAATACATTATCCAAATGATAAAACTGTGAATTTAAAACCCACTGAATATGCCTGAAATGGTAAATCAGTGAAATTTAAACCCAGTGAAAATTAGTCATTTTACAGTAGAATTGCTCATCGATCCATGTGGCAACCAGTATTTCTAAGAATTGATTTTGTAGGATACAGTATGATTAACAGATTACAAATTCTATTGGTGTCTCTGGCAAACACTACCATCCATTTTACTGTAAACTACTATATTTTTACTTTGAAATATTTTTCCACATTTTTGCTGAATGAATGAATCACTGAATATAGCTTTTTTTTACCTATATTTTACATTTATCTCATCAAAAATCTGTGAAAATAATCTTTATACAAAATAGTCAAAAAGTCTTTTCAGCGAAAATTAATTCCAGCTGAAATAAAGTATTTTACAGTGGTACTCATAATGGTTAGTTACACTTTAGTGAAGGGTAAAAAAAATATATATTAGTTATTTATCACATGATATGTTTGTTGTTTCCAATATGTTTTTGTATTGTTGTATTTGTCATTTACTCTTGGGACTAAAGGGTATATATTATCTTAATTTTATGTAGAAAACTAGTCTTTTACCTGAGACTTTTTTCTTTGTGACCTCTTTGAATTGGCGGGAAATGCGGGGAATATTATTGAATGTTCAAATTTCAGTTATTTGCAGCACGTCTGAATGTTTGAAATTGATTTTGACTTCCCATTTGATTATGTGTTCAAGTTTTCATTTGCCGATCTTTTTGAATGGTGTTTGGACTTGCGTGGATTCACAAAGCGACTCTGTTCCAAATAGTTGTGGCTCGTAGTAATTCAGAACTACAAAGAATATTTTTCTCATAGTATCGTTCTACTAGGAGTATTATGAATTATTCTAAGACTATTTCAGAGATACATTTCATAATTAATTACCAGGGTATCACTGCTTGTGCTATTTTACCCTGTCACAGGCATTTAATTTTTGTAAGTTGTTGATTTCTTATACATAAATGGTGTTATTCTGTCAGAACACATACAACCTAAGATGCCTCTATTTACAAACATACAAAGAATTGTTAAGCTAGATTTTTTTAAAAAAAAAAACTGAATTAATTCATTTCATTATTCTGAATCTTGTGAGGTTTAATGATTAATTCACTCGATCAAGCAGAAAAAATGGCCAGAATCTTATTTGCTTTCTGAGCCCTTTACCGTAAACTTCTCAAAACAATCCAAATGTGGAAACTAAAATACTAGTATTAGTAGTCAATAAATTCACTACATGGGGGGAGAAATTCTGTAGATTATGTAATCTCCTGTTTGAAATTTTCAATCAACCTATCATGAACGTTTGATCTAAAATGAATCCAGCAACATTTTTATTTTGGCAACTTGAAGGATTTTCTGAATTCATAAAAAATAATTTTCTTTGTTGGGTCAGTTCATAAGATATGGCCTGTTCTGTGTAGGCTTGCTATACAAGATATTGGATCTGTGAATTTATGCTACCAAATATAGTGCAGTACTGATAATAAAGTGCTTCCATTTGTGCTTTTCTTGCCATAAATGTGGCAGCTGTGTTAATTGGCTCCTATTTTTCACCTTCTTAGTAGTTGACCAATCAGTGATAACCTACTAATTTTCTGTGTTTGTATATTTTGCTCATTATTAGTTTTAATATCACCTAGCGCACTATGAATTGTAATAAAGTTGTATGAAAGTAATCCTAATTGTGCCATCAACTGTAGCTGTGAATCTTTAAAAAAAAATTTTTTTTTTTAATTTGAACATTTTATATAGATATATACTGTATTAATCACTAAGGTTCTGCCAGCTTGCACTCTTTTAAAGCACCACTGTAGCATGATGTCATACGAGTCCCATGTAATGCATAGAAACATGATAAATATATTGTTTATGTGGTCTGTGTGATGGCTTTGTTTATTTTAAATGTCATCATGCAGAGTTCCTTACAAGTATATTTATTTGACATGCATTGTATACATTGCATGGGACTCTCATACCACAACTGGTATTATTTGCAGATACATGTAGTTTGTTCTCATGAAAATTATTTTTTGTTGTTTTCTATCAACCAGAAATATAGTTCTGTAAACTTTCTAATGAACATTATTTTTATTTGCATTTATATACACTGGATTGTCGCACTCGATAGACCTTGAACGGACATAACTGTTGAGTCAAACAATTACTGGTATTTTTTTTTTTCTCTCAAAAAGTGGTTCATTCTCTCTGTTTCGATTACCATGGTTACCTACTTCAGTGGAACATTGAACATAAGAAAGAATGGTACACTGTTTGAGACGCAAAAACAGCCTTATGGGTCTATCACTCTGAACAAGATCTAGTGGTAATAAATATTTCTGTTACATATTTTGTGCCATATCATGTAAAATAAACATTGAACTAAATGATCCAGCACAGATTCAGGTCACAAGGCCCATACTAATACTAATACTGTAAAATACTGTAAAAAAGTATTTTACAGTATGCTAGTAACTAAGATTTATTTGTTTGAAAACAATTTTTGTTTAAATTTTCTCTTGGTGGTGTTTACATGTGCACATTATGTATATCATAAAGTTTTAATCTGTTTTTACTTGATACCACAAAAGACTATTTGGCTTGATGGGATGGGATGGGATGGGATGGGATTGAAAAAAAAAAGATTGTTTCTTCTGCTACCCCTCCCAGAAAGCAGCTTGTGCCCCTCAGTTCAGCATAGAATTGTTGGTTATGAGCATGATAGAACAGACGGAGCTGGTTGATGGACCAGGGACAAATCTTCAGAATTATTCTAGGCTGTGAAAATATTTATTGACATCCTCCTTGGCTTGTGTGCCTGATTTTCAACATGATTACTGAATCATTCTATGCCACATTTGTGGCAGACAGCCACGAAATCAAAATCATTATTTTTTGTACTTCACACCAATACGTATAAAAATAATTTGATTTCAAACCAAATTGTAAATTTTAATTAAAATTGTTAGTGACAAAAAAATTAGTATGCTGATCATGCAGGATGCTTTCATTCTGTATTCCTAATGTAAGCTTTCACCTCATTGGCTACCAAACTATAATGCCTTAGAAGAATCATCCAATCCGGAAACTCCTACCTTGACAGCTTATTTTTAGCTTCTAAAATATTTCTTTCACTGCATGCTTATACAGTTCATGTATTATTTATGTAATTACCTTTTTTTTTTAGAAATACATCTCTACTTTACTAAATAAAAACATTTTACATAAGTATTCATTGCTTTCTGGTTTATGTTATAATTTTATTTCCATATTGATGGATTTTTACCCCAGGATTTCTGATATATGTTGCAGTTAGTTAGTAGACCTTGAGAATCTTGGTGGGATGATGATAGGAAAAAACTATGCAAAATACTTGCTTTCCTTCACTTAGTTTGGTGCAATTTTTATGCTGAATTTACTAAAATAGTTGTTCCCTTCTGTGTGAAATATTTTTACCGTGAGATTTAGGTATGCAAAATTTGTTCGTTACCGATTCCTGCAATGTTCAAATTCTGTCCCCCCCCCCCCCCAGTTTGGAGTTCTATCGTATTAGGCTCCTGTACAAATGTAGAATGATGTACGAACATCGAATGAATACAGGAAGAACTGTTACTCTGGACTGGCAATCTGCAGGTAAGTAAAAAATGAGCACAAATTTACAACTTGAAACAAATATTCTTTTCACCCACACAGAACAAAAGGTCAAGATCACAGTATGTGATTTTGTGCTACATGAAAATAACCAGTGATAATCAAAATTGACACGCATGTTCCCTGTATTTTGCAGAACCTTTCCACATTCTAAGGTTATGGTACGAGTTTATG